GAGATACAACTATTCGTGTTTGACGGACGTCCGTGTCGCATCTGTAGAATTGAAGGCGCTATGGCGCAAGGCGTGAACGCGCGATGCTGCCAAAGAGATGTTCCTCAGATTCGGAGGAACGTTGAAACAGCGAGACGCTGTCGTTGTTTATGCATCTTTTTTCATTGCTTTAAATGGCAGATCAGTCGACGTCTCGTCGAAGCACGCCACGTCACTTTTATGAATGTATGTTAAAGGAATGACTCGACCTCACAACTGCATATTGACGGTGTAAGTCGGCAATCACATAACTCGATTTGCGACGTCGCAGACTTCATACTTTATTTTTTAAACGGCAAACTACTCAAAAGCAGCTCTTCAAAACTGCCGTGATTTTTCTTCTCTGTGCGAAGAAAATTCTCCAAAAACGTCAAGGTATGATGTCAGTTTGTTCTCCTTTAAAAAATTAACATAGAGGCGGAGATTTTCAAACACCGCAAACGAGTTATGTGATTGCCGACTTACACCGTCGATATACGATTTTTGCATCATGCTCACGCATTCTTTGTTGAACTCGTGTGCCTCTATAAAGCAGCACGATTCTGCCGATTTTAAAATTATTCCGATATAGTTTGCATGAATTTTCTTACGGGCGAATATTCCCTCAATCTCAAAATCTGATGAATCGAACATGGTTCCACCCACTTCTTACCAGAAGCCTGATTGTTGCAACTTTCTCTAGTTTTGTCGGCAAGATAAAACAAGGCCCAACCCTATCTGTGCCATGCAATATCGATGCCCTAAGTGCGAAGCCACGTATCTCCATTTGCGACGTTGCAGGCTTTCTATCATACTTTATTTTTTCTTTCAAAAACTGGTCAAGGTAATTTCTTAAAAATTTTCTGTGTTAGCAAGTAGAATATTCTGTATTTTCAACCTATAAAGTTGACTTGTTTTTCTTCGAAAAAATAAATTGGAGCGGAAAGATACTCCACCAGGGAAATACATGGTTTCACACTTGAGTTAAAGATATATCGATTTTTGATTTCTTGTCGTGTCGAAATATTTCAACAACCGAGCCACCGCTGGAGAACAAAAAATAAGCCAAGAGAAAGTTGATAAACCAGTGAAAATTTGCAACGCCTAAGTTTTGGTCATAGTTAAGTTAGAAGTCTAGCCATAGTCGAGAGATGAGGGGATCGATGGGTCAAGGCGTAGGAAGAAGCGGGGAAGAGGGAGAAAGGACGAGTTGCTGGATAAATTGTGAAAGTTATCGGGGGCAGGAGAGCAGAGGTGGGTGAAATTAAAATCGGCTGACCCGTTCTATTTACAGCTAACGCCGAGTATCGGAGGGGGAAAAAAGAAAACATATTTTCGATATTTTCATCGGTGCTCACTGCTCCCCCATTTCCCCATTTCCCGAAGGACATCAAACTCCCGGTTCCCGGGAACGTCTCTTCAAAAAGCTTCTCACTCACCGCGTAGCACTTAAAGAGTTTGACTTTTGCTCATCACCAGCACCTGTTGCCAAACGCAAACAGGAATCTGGTTGGAAACAGGTTGGATCTGTGTCCAAAGCGTGGACCCTCTGAAATTACAGAGAAAAGAAAAGTCGTGCTTTCGTGTGTTGACCTGGTTTATAAAATGGACCGCGTTTAGCAAAAAATGACCAAGCCACATCAGCTGTTGCAAAATTTAACTGGGCTATTCTAGTTTTTACAAGAGAGCGTTTCCGCGGATTCCTTTGAAAATTTTCAGGAATTTGCATCGTTCTTTGCAGAAAATTCACCGAAATTTGCACAAAATTCCGCACAACCATTTTTCTGCAAAAATTTAAATGCCCAATTACATTTGGCAATAGCCAATATGGCTTGGTTCCTTTCTACTTAACGCGGTCCAAGTAATCACTCCTGCCTCATCACTTGTAACTTTAAGTTAAGTGTTCGCTTTTGCATTTCATGAAAGACTTAGATTATCCTTTACCATTGACTAATTTAGTGACTGCGTCATTCGACATAATATCGAACTCATGGTTCAAAACAAAGCAAACTAACATAACCTCATGTGCGAATTCTTCTTAAGTTAATTATGCTGATTTATTAAAATTTAGTTATTGACTGGTCAAAAATCAATTAAAGATTCATAAATTACGAGAATTTTCAATTGTAAGAAACACTTGGACGCATTTTACCACCAGGGTCAAAGAGCGCGAATGAGCGCGAATGGCACGAATCAGAAACAATGTTCTGTGTCTGTTTAAGGGTTAGATATAATATTGAATGATGTAGCCACTAAATCAGTCTGTTCGTCGCCCGTGTGGCGTAAGAACGTATCTCAATTTCCATCCGAACCATGATTATCTTAAAAGTTCAACCTAGTGACACCTCCGATACGATTCACATTGAAGGGCTAGAAAACCAATCTTTTGCGGAATCGTACTGACACATTTTGAGAAAATGCTGAAAGAAAATTATGTCAGCATACAGATGTTTTCACTAAATAATGAAATGATTAACCAAACAACAAATTTTCTTTATCGCAATATTAATTAATTTTTATTATTGTTCCGAAGTGCCTCATTTTGATTTCGGTGTGTGTCGCACTCAAATAAAATTTAATTCTTACTCAAAATTGTCGTATCAATTACTTGGGTTTAGCTGCAAAGGTTTTGAGACCACCAAAAGCGGACCATATCGCAACAGTGTTCCATTTTGCTGGACACCTGATGCCGCTAACTTTAATACTTGATACGGACTGCAAAATCACTATATATCAGTTCGAAGTGGTGAATTATTAATTCACGGCTCTGCAGTACGAATCGATTTTCTCTTTAATCCTGAGAGAATTACAATGAACATTGCAGGAAGTCTACAGGTCTTGAAAGTCCCGAAAAAATTTGTAATTTTTAAGACCGGTCCCGAAGTCACTATTAAGTCCGTTTCACTCGAATTCCCAAATAAATGAAACATTCGCGGTTTTTGAGCGTTATTTTTAACTAATGTAACCATCGCATCTAGTTTGAGTGCGATGTTTTTGTAGGAATTCGAATTATAAGCAGTAAAATTTTCCTTCATTTTCAAGTGATACCACATACCTACTCTTGAGTTCGAATAGTTGCGTGCTTGATTTCCACATTTAACGATGGCATAATACTTGCATTCATAAACCTCAGTAGTTGCAGAAACGGAAAAAAGGTCAGATTTCCCTTCATTCGCCATGAATTCGCACTATGCCACTGCGGCTAAATTACGAGACCGAACGTGCATTTACGCAACTGTGTGTGCGCGCCAGGTGTTCCTTTAACAAACCGAATAATGCTAACGCCACAGCCGTCTGCAAGATTGTTTGTTTACTTAGGTGAGGTCTCTCTTCAGGCAAACCTGATTGCCAGCCACGAAGAAAAACTGCCCGCATACGCGGAAAATTTGAAAAAGCGTGTTCCAAACCACGCAGATTCCGCGCCAAGAAGTGGATTGCAGACTTTTTTGATGTGCCCAGCGTGATTTTCGAACGAATTTTCGCTTGAAAAGAGTATTCAGTTGGCCGTGTCTCTTGCTTACAACATATCCATTTGTTTAATAGTTAATTTTGTTCAATTATTATCTTAATTCCGATTAATTACTCGATATCTACAAAAATATCTCTCCGCGCAAACCTCTCGCCGTAACGTGAGAGCCCCGTCTCACGGAGACGGTATCTACGAAATATCCTCGAACTTTCATTCCCGCGATTCGAGCCTCGGTCAAATCTTACGAAAACGTCTCGTGGTCGGCCAGGTTGGCCTAGGGAACGCAGCGCGACTGACTCTAGGTCAATAGGTCCCGGGTTCGAATCCCGGTAGTGGAATCAAATCAGGGAACTAACGAGTAGATCTGCGGAAACAGATTCTACTTGGCCTTAATCCCTGAAAATGACGCTATATTTTCGCTCGTTTCATACTTCATTTTAAAATAATGAATATGATTTAACCTAATCCGAGATTCAGAATCGTTTCAATTCAGGGAAACACTTTCACTCAAATTGTGGTAATAACGGGACAGAGAGTCAAGGATAATGACGTGTAGTCCTACCTTTGCGGCGATTTAAGCGGCGCGCCAGCCAGGGAGATCGCACGGGACGGGACCCGAGTAATTGCTGGAGTTTAGCGCGCCTTCAATCCAGCTGGCAGCAACATGCTTACACCCGTGGTCGAATAGTTGTATCATTACGCCTGCCGCGAATGAGTTCAAATATCCTTTCCTGCACGCGTAAGGAAGCGTATTTATCTCCGATTCCAACGTTATAGACCTCAACTGATGTCTTATTTTTAATCATTCTTGTCACGAAAGGCAAATACAGTTTTTCTAAAGAATTTCCGTGGATTTTCTTCCATCGCCGGTTTGAAAAAAATGGAGCATGGATGTGCCTGGAAATGTGCGTAAATCCCTCGATGTGTACGGACAGTAAACCTACCATAAAAGTTTTCCGAAGGCGCTGGACGCGCAGCCATAAAACCAGCAAAAAAAAGAAAAATAAAAAATAGACCCTCCGTGGAGATAAGACGAAAGAATGAGGATAAAGACCTGGTTAAATGGAAAACACGGCAATGGACTACAAGGCGCGAAATGATTTTGTGGAGGCCTCCAGAGAAGGCGAATTCCTTCGCGAGCGTAAGAGGTCGCGGGCCGAGCAAGGCGTGAACAAATTAAATTGTTTACATGCTAATCGTGAGACCCGTCTGAGGAGATGTCTTGAAGAGATATAATTAACCGGGATCCCTTTTCTCTCCCCCTCTCCTGCGGTTTCTCCCTCTCAATCTCACCGGAGAGAGCGGGAAAAGCGCGGACGTGCTCGATAGAAGCGTTGGGGGTTAAGCGGTTCTTGTTCGACGGGGAGAGAGGTCGGGATTTGGGGGTGGACGCAGGCGTGCGTCCCCCGGAGGGCGGTCTCAAGATTGCGCGCGCAAAGCCGGCAAAAATCCTACACCCGCGTGGCCCGCGTGGCTCCGTTTACGCGAGCCAGCTTTCATTCAGCCAGCAAACGCCGGCTGCGCCCGACTTGGAGGCCCGTGCCGTGTCACGGTTCGGATACAGTTCGCGATCTTTTCTCGACCGCGGGTCCGAAATTCCATCGCAACAAAATTTCAACCCTACTCCACCGTTAATAATTAATTTTAGGTAATTTTCTTTCCTCATTTGGTTTGCCCAGTTTTTATTTTGGGCGCTGTTTTGTCATTTCCGGAGTCTCCTTCGATGTACGTGTTTTTGCGGCACAGGAAAATTGACGGGGAAGTCGATTAGGTCTTCAAGAGAATTTGACGATTAGGCACAGAACTCGAGTTGTTACAATGGTCCCTTAACATTTCGAGATTTTTTTTTTTTTTTTATTTACTTTTTTTTTTAGACAGTATGTTGGAATTTTTTAGCCATAACGTGCGCTAAAAATTCAGCGTTCTGGATGGTCGTCATTAGTGTTACACCAAACAGCGTATTTCTTTGAGGGAAAATTTTGCTTGTGTGTGAGCTTTTCCCCCTCTGTATTGAGATATCAGCTTTATGCTGAATTTGTAACGCTCGTCGACTAAAAAATTCCAACATACTGTCTTACAACCCGTGCGTCCTTCGCAATCAGTTTATGTACTTTTTTTTTGGTCCTTAAAAACTGTGTAAATTTGGGAGAATTCCATTCCATGCCTGAGATACCGCTGCTTTGTTTTTGCAAATGTCCGTGCTAAATTTTTTTTTTGTAGCTCCCTCCCTGACAAAAATTTAGTGCGCTCACTCTGTTGCTCCTTACTAACAATCTTTGTTCAGGAAAAATATGCAATCGCGAACATTTATTATATTCAAAATTCACGTCCTACCCTCATAATCTCCGCATAAGAACAATATTTTTAACCTCGTTTTCTCCTTGAATATTAGGAACTTCAATTAAGTAAATATTTCTCGGTACATACATTATTTGAATTGTTCGATTTATTATTTCTTTCTTTTTCTTTTTTCTTTTTTAAAAATCTTACGCAAGAACCGATGTTCCTGTGTTCCGAAGAAGAATCATTTTAAACAAATTAAAGGGAAAGTGAGCTCTCAAATCTGAATCCTCGAATGGTTTCTGAAGTAATTTATTTTTTTTTTATTTATTTATTCGTGGTTTATTGTTTATTCAAGTATCAGTTTTTTTAAACTCATTCCATCAAACTTTGAAACCCCTAAAAAATTGAAAAATACTCACCTTTAGCAAAACAACTCAGGAAATGTGTCATTCAATAATTTTTCTAGTTCCACTAAGCCAAGTATTTCACGTTTCTTCAAAATTTTTCTTGTGAAGTTTTGTCGTTAGGCATAAAGTTTCTACGAGTCTGGGTTCTTTGGAAATTTTAAAACCACTCAGTATGACACCAAAAAACAAAAACAAAAAAAAAAAAAAANTTAAAACCACTCAGTATGACACCAAAAAACAAAAAAAAAAAAAAAAAACAATTACCGCAGTACTAATTGTCTCTGTTGGATAAATACCGCATATTTCACACGGTGTGAAATAAAAATCAATGATCAAGAGCATAGAATACTACCAAATTTTTAGGATTAATTTTTTTACCAATGCCAATTCCTTCAATGCAATCTCTTACATAAGTATCTTCCCATTTCTCTTCCTACCAATTAGAAAACTGAACTTCTTGAAAATGAATCATTGTATATAGATTCAGACTTATAGGATGAACTTTCACTCCATTTTAAAAACAACACCAACGATGCGGCATCGAAAAAAAAGCACCCGTAATAGATAAAGGACGGAGACAGTGCCGGCACTGTTGAGAGAAGCGGAGGTAAGCAAATTAATTAGTCAATGCGTTGATGCGGGTGTGTCGCAGGGAAAAAGAAACAGGGTGAGCATCAAGGGGAGGAAATTAAGCACTCTGTAACAAGCATGAATTAAGAAGTGGTTGCTTAATGAAACAGAGTAATTGGTCTGTAAAAGCACCGGGATCGGGGCAGCAAAAAACGCCACAGCAAGAGACGTATAATGAGCTAGGCTCAGAGGAAACTTTCACTCGGTGCTTATTCATAAGTCACACTTAAAAAAATGAAGCATGGATGAATAAAGAGATAAATAAATCAAAGAGGAAGATCTCTGCCCAGTTTGCGTGTAGCTATATCTTTTTAGTGATCCCCGTCGTACTCATTTTATGAATAGTATATTTCCAATCAAGATCCTCCTTATTTGGAAGAAAAACCCCTGGAGAAAACTCCAAGCTGTAAATCTGTCGTTCGTGTGCTCACGCGGTAAATAGCAAATCCGTTTAAAATATCGGAAATAATATTTTTTCCAAGAAATGCAGGCAAGTGTGTAAAAAATCTGAAATTTCAATCGTTCCGATTCGGAACTTTAGAACTCCCCGCATATCCCCCTAATAAAAACAAATGCACTTGATTTATTGTACTCATGCAACTGTAATTCCAAGAATTTCCTTAATTTACGGCTTTAAAATATTATCAATTCCACTATTAGCACAGTTTGGTCCTCAAAACCACATTTTTCTATCGATGAATAGCGTCACAATTTTTCAGCCGAAAATATAATAATGGTGTAAAGGACCCATTTACTGCAAACGAGATGCAAAATTTCAGTGTCAAAGTGCCTTAACGTTTGTGTAAAAGTCAAAATTTCTTGTCTATTTTTGGACTTCCAGTTGCACCGCTTCTCATCAGAGTGTTTTGGGATTGCCAGTCACTGGACTCGTTCCAGATGGATATATATCGAGTTTTTGCTTTGTGTGTTTTCATTTATACGGGTTTAAAACTTCGAATGAAAAAAATGATGCAATTTTAAAACTAAGAATGATACAATTTTAAAGTTAAAAATAAAAAAATCCAAAATTAAAAATGATACAGTTTCAAAGTTAAAAATGATACAATTTCAAATTATATGTATAATAGAACAAATTAAAATTACCAGGAATTTTTCGCTTCTCGATGTACGCTATTTTCCCTCGATAAATGTAGATGAAAAAGTTCAAGTTATGAATGAGTTGATAAATTTGCATTTGAGCTTTATTTTGTGTATCATTTCATCCTCGCAATTAACCTTTAAAATTACTCAAGTTCCTCGTACTTTAATTTCATGTCACACAACCATGACTCTTTCATCTTTCTTTCTCATCATGTCTGTGTCATGTGTGTTTCTTTAATCACATTTATGGATTTGCTCCAATCCGACACCCAGAGATACACAAAGTACCCACACCATTTAAAAAAAAACGTACTCACGGGAAGTAGTTTAGTTCGTAGAAGAGGATCATTAGATTAAACTAATTGAATGAAATAAAATAAATAAATCTCAAAATTGAAATGAATCAAATAAACGATAGGTCGTCGAATTAATGATAATAATTATTGCCTGCGTTAGACGCACGGGTCGTAAGACAGTAAGCTGGAATTTTTTAGCAACCATGCGTTAAAAATGAATGAATGAATGAATGAATGTTAAAGCTCTATCACTCGCAAAATATCTCTACAGAAAATCCGTTTGAAATAGCGTAACGGGAAGCAAATATCCCTGCTTTACAATGTGCTTTAACGAAGTTTCCCCGATAAAATGTTTTTGTAGTCTGTTATTCTTACGCGTGTAATTTTGACCGTTAGAAAATATGACCTATGGATCTATGTTTTATATCTTCAGCTTTGAAATCAGTAATTGTTCACAACACCTTGGCATTATATTTTTACAATCAAATCCCTTCAATAATTTTTCAGCGGATATATAACCCGTAATTTATAACCCGTAATATTTAACCCGTGTGGCAAACAAACTCTATCAAAAATTCAAAACCATAATGAAATTATAGTAGTTTAGTTCGTAGATTTCATGAATCTACATGATGTCATGATGTGACGGTTAGTGATGAGATAAAGTGAATGTTCTCATATGTATATGGGATTAAACAACGGCGAATTTTCCTAGACTTCGTTATCTTCAATTCTAAATAGTGCGATCGAAGATATGTGCAAAATTGTATGTTTGGTAGAAAATGCTTTTTTCATAAATCCACAATTTGAAATATTCTTTAATAAAATTGTTTTCGTTGCTTTGAAGTCGGAAAAGTTTTGTGCAGCACTACTACCATAAGATTGATGGGCTGATTACTTATTTTAAATTTCTCTTCCTTAACTGCAAAAGTAACAAAAGAGTATTGAACAAAAAATTGAAATGTGCATGAATGAGTATGTGTATCAACTTGTATTCAAAGGTTAGAAAAACTTCAATTCATCTCAAATAATTTGGAAACTGCTTGTCTTTTTAATTTACTATGGTGCCTAGACTACCAAACGACCAACATACAACCGACGCACAAAGTGAGTATCCTAGCAAAAGGTTTGACGCACAAAAATAAGGATCCTTATGTGTCTGTTAGCGCTGTCTATAAAAATCGCAGGACAGTTTTTTCCACAAACATCCATCATCAGCAAAATGAAAGAAAAAAAAAATTGTCAATTTAAGTGAAAAATTACAAATTTTGTTGAATAGGTATGTATAGTGTTCGAATTTTGGAAAACGGGGTTTCATCAAAAACCCTCTAAATTTTGGAAAATGTATTTTCACCAAAAATCAGGCGGATCATTGTTTTTCATAAATTCCTGTTTAGTTCGTGCTAAAGAAATGCGTCGTGACCATATACTATGTACGCCTTTCTCAAAATAGCTATCCGTTTCTAAAGAAAATAAATGAAAAATTAATAATACCAATTAGTGAAAGGCTAATACCAGTGATTATTTTTTATACTTATTACTGTCAAAAATAAACTTGATGCAAAATCCATCGAGTCTTCCAGTACTTTTGCAAAATTAAAATGCCGATTCATTACACGTGAAACAACATTATCCACTGAAATTAAAGCACTCGTCAGAATGTGCCGCAAGTTCATGAGTGCTAAAAACAAGTAAGAATTCTTAGAATCAGCGCTGAGAATAAGCAGCAATTACAATTTTAGTATATACATTGAATGTTAAATTAATACATTTAACGTCGAATTGAGCTAAACTTACATAATTAAAATGTTCCGTTTTCATGGCTGCTTTGAGTCATGTTTTCCGGTCAGTCGAACGACGAGGACTTGGTTGATCTACCAAATTTTTGGTAGATCAACCAAGTCCTCGACCTTATGATCGAGACCATAGGTTACTCTCAATCATCTGGGGATGAATGAAGTAATAAAGTATGTCCCGCTGAACGAATGTATACTCTTGTTTCTCTCAATGACCCTCATCGGTTGCGACCTAAGATTGGCTATAGCACATTGGACCATCACCAACGCAATCCAGGTCCTGTTATGGTGACTCACGCTTCATTTTCAACAATGCTGCACATTTTCAACCAAAAGATTTGACCAATGTAACTCAAAGAATAACGGACTAAAAACATTGACCGCGCGTCGAGGGTACTTTGTGTCCTTATCCCCTCACTAACACAAATGGACTGTGTTAGGCAGAAGGAACCGAGCCACATCAGTTATCGCCGAATGTAATGCGGCAATTTAATTTTTACTTGCAAACGGTTGTGTGGATTCTCGTGCGAAAATACGTCGATTATGACAGATTTTGAAGCATGTTGTTTCTATGTTTTTGAACTTAAGAAATGTTTTTTTACGTCTTCCCTATCTTTGGCTGTGTTGCTCACGTAACACTTGAAACACCACTACAAATAAGACGAATAGAGCCAGCACAATATGGAAATAGAATAAGGAACAAGATGCGCGTCGATGACGGCGCAGAGATACAACTATTCGTACTCGATGGATGTCCGCGTTGCGTCTGCAGAATGGGCCTGTTGCAAACTTTTGCTAGAGCAAAAATAAGAGTTGTTTCTTATAGATAATGCCTCAAAAATCACGATGAGCGCATTGGCAAAGTCTGAAATGCACTCATAACTTCACAATCTGCGTAGGAAATTTGCGGTTTTTTGAGCTTCCCGCTTCAAAAACGATACTACGGCACAGGTGAACATTTTGTAAGAGGAGTCGTTCCATCGTCGGCAATAATCATCATAGCCGACGCCAATCCGCCAAAACACGTTTGATGGGACGAGATAACACCTGAACTGGATTAGACCAGATAACAATCGGTGTGTTGACGTTCATATTTTCCACGCCCGAATGGATTGACCTTGAACTCTCCTTGAATTACGCGCGGAACTGCGTGGAAGCGTCGGCCATGATGAATATCGCCGACGATGGAGCGACTCCTCTAACAAAATGTTCACCTACGCCGTAGTATCGTTTTTGAAGCGGGAAGCTTAAAAAACCGCAAATTTCTTACGCAGATTGTGAAGTTATGATTGCATTTCAGACTTTGCCGATGCGCTCATCGTGATTTTTGAGGCATTATCTACAAGAAACAACTCTTATTTTTGCTCTAGCAAAAGTTTGCAACAGGCCCATTGAAGGCGGGATGGCGCGAGGCGTGAACTTGCAATGCGTCGCTCTGCCGCCAATGAGTTGTCGCCTGGATTTGCTTTTCTTAACTTTAGCCAAAGTTTACAATAGATCTATTGGACCCCGTGAAGTAGAAGGTTACTAAGCCACATAAGCTATTGCCAATATTTGGACAATTTAATGTTTCACATGAAATCGGTCGTATGGATTTTTATGCAAATTTCAGTGAATTTTCTGCTTAGTACGAAACAAATTCCCCGACATTTTCAAAAGAATCCGCACAAACTTTCTCTTGTAAAAAACGGAATTGCCCCGTTAAATTTTGCAATTGCTGATATGGCTTGGTTCTTTTCTGCTAAACGCAGTCCAAATGGATTACATTTTGCAATAAGGAACTACAATCTCTGACTCTTCCATAAAAGCACCCTCCAGCATAGGGAAACCAATGATTCACATGTTGTTCCTAAAATGAGCCAGAAATAGCAGTCCCTAATTGCAAAATGTGGTCCGAATGTTGGTTACTTTCTCCTACTTTGTACTAAATGTCTCAAGGATCAGGAAATATAGTTGTGGTGGTGAGTAAGATTTTGTTATACAACCAATATTTATTTCCTTTTCTTTTTCTAACGCTCGATGTTCGTTTGCAGGAGCGGGTGGAGCTAGATCAGAGGATCGGGCCGGTTTCAAAGTCAAGGAGCCGGTGAAATCAAAAGGACGGAAAAGCGAGAGGTCTGCCAATGGAACATTTGCCGGTCTCCAACGGGAAGAAATCATATTTTATTCCTGGGCCGGGACTCCTGCCTCTCGTCAACTCGTCAATGCGAAGAATGGACCGGGCGGGCGCCACGCTCCCAGACGGGGACACATCAATAGTTAATGAAATGAAATTTTGAGTTTCCGCTTTCGGGCGAGGCTCCGCGGGGGAGCACGTAAAAAGTTTTCGGTGGCTTTCCTTTTTTGTGCGTGATTGCCGGAGCCGCGGCCAGATTGCAAGTGACTATCGGAGACTCGGACGGATCAAATATTAAACTCGACGAAAAATTCAAATGAAGCGAATCGCCGGCGGCAAGTTTCCAACCACGCTCGACTTGCCCGTTTCTACGTCTTCTCCACGGTTCCGTTTCTGCCCTGAAATCGCTACCCGATTTTCCGATGGATTCCCACACCAGATTTTGTGAACAATATTCCGGTTACCCGCATTCCAGGAAATGTGACTGTAAAGTACGACTCTTTTGCCGATTAAGAATTTTTTGTGACTGATCCGTGGAGAATAAATTAGATTTTCCTACGTAATCAGGATTCATCATGGTGCTCATTCAACTTTCCACGTATCTCTCAGTGTAAAGTACGACTATTTTCCCGAATAAGACTTTTCGTGACTGATCAGCGTAGATAACTTAGATTTTCCTTCATACTCGGGATTCATCATGGTGCTCATTCAACTCTCCACATATCTCTTAGTTTTTCTCCTCACTTTGCTCCACTCTTCAGGTAACGAAACATTTATCATCTTTTTTCAAAACATTCAATTACCTATTCTAATGGAACGATAGCCGAAACGTTTTGGTGGTATTACGTGAAAATTAGCCTTGTTACCCGTTGTTTAATTTGTTATTATTGTGTATATTGTCACGGACTGCGGATTATCAAACATATCTCATAAATGGATATAGTGGCCCGATCGCTCTGTAAGGAGGCAGGGATAGTTTTGAGCTGAAGTGCCGTGCTGACAATGAGGAAGAACGCCGTATGAACACTTGGAAATTCGTAATAGCGCCTACAAGACTGCCTGGATACTTCATGCATTGCGCGTACACTGACTGCGGTGATACTTCCCGCATTGCGCGTACCACACCCTCACGGCACGGTGCGTACGCGCAATGCGTGAAGTATCCACGCAGTCTTGTAGGCGCTAATTAGCGTGTCGCTCAGGCCGCACTGAGATAGGCGCTGATATTCTTACTTGCGGAGTCAGTGTTCGCACTCATGGTAACGAAATGTTTGCACCCTTGATTGTCATTTAAAATAATAGAAAAATCATGTTTTAAAGGAAAATGTAATGTGTGTTTTGCAAATACATATGAAGGTGGCTCCTTGCCAAAAATGGTTGTCAAGAAACTTATACCTATTTTAAATTCAGTATTTCAATCAGTATCCAGACAGTCTTCTAGGCGCTATTACGAACTTCCAAGTGTTCGTACGGCGTTCCTCCTCAGCACGGAATTTTAGCTGAAAACTACCCCTACTTTCTTACAGAGCGATATCGGGCCATATCCATTCATGAGATATGTTTGATGATCCGATAATTATCTTTGCTGAAGCACAGCCTCGCTTCACAGAAGAAAATAACGTTACTTTGTAACAATGTTGTGAGATCCACCCAACAATTTAATTTTATGTAAAAATATGAGAGTGCAATTCCTCGCCAATATTTTGTTGATTTTTGCGCGTAATAAGTAAACGAATCAATAAAATTCGCAGCCATGAAAGCGCGACAGTTTAGTGAAAATGGAATTTTCAAGTGGAAATTTAACATAGATCTTGGAAATTTTCAATCAGTCCCGTTCTTTCATCTGTGAAATGAGGAAAATTGATTCATGGACCTTCAAAATTAGGATTATTAATTGATTTGACCTTCAACTATATTGCACCAAGATCAGGTAGGATAAGAAAATAACCACTATAATACACGTGTTCTCGTCAGAATTCAATTATGTAGCACGATGGAAAAATTGATGAATATTGCCAAGTTCAACTTTTTATTTGAAGAACAAATTTTATGCGTTCCTTTCATTCAAACTTTCCAGTCTTAAAAAAAAGTACTCCCTTGAGTCGAATCGGGTGTCAAATTAAAATTAGCACAGTTTTTTTTTCTTTGACAAGTTTGTGCATTCCGTGCATTGCATGCAGTGGGTTTTTTTTTTTTGGCTATGATAAGCACCGTAAAGTTGATAATGTCATAGATTATTTTTCAATTTCCGTTCCACCCTACCTCGATTTTTGTGTTTCTCGGGAGCGAAAAATTAAAATCTAATATAAACCACAAAAAATCATTTTGTTCTTACATGAGCTGATTTTCAAAGTTCTTAATTTGTTCGCGTAAAATCGTGATGAAGAAACATGGCTTAGAGTACTTCAATTTCTCCCTTGTCTCAAGGTTCATTTTGATCAGTGATCCCAGAATACCGTCCTTAGTCCACAGAAGTACAAATTTTAGTAGAGTAATATTTGTCTAGTGGCCTCTAGAAAAATCGGATTTTGGATTTCAAAGAGACGCTCCCTCTTGCATTCTGAGTAAAACGTCATGGGCAATTCCCTTCATTTTTGTGCCAAGACAGTGAATAAAGTATCATTATAACCAGACAATTTTGTATCTTGGACACGTCAGACATGCTTGATCTTTAATCGATCTGCATTGAAGGAAAAAAAAAAAACACGCCCATTGAGTTTCATTTTTTTGCAATAAAATAATTTATGTATCTAGGCGAAATAAATCAAAATTAAGGCTTGAACATACCAAAATTGTCCATTTTTTTAATCGGCTCAATCAAAGCACGCACATTTTTTGAAGAGATAACTATTCGTGCCCCGCTGTAGGTATGTTGCCTAGCCGGCCAAATTGGAGGCGAATTGACATATATGACAAATAGGTTAAAACATCGCTTAATGGTAAAATGGTTCGATAAAAGTATCATGGCATGGAGGGAGATTAATGAATGCCAGGGGGTACGCTCCCGGACCACTTCGCGGTCCAACTCCCCGAAGCGCTTCGCGCCTCAGGTGGTATGTTTTAGGCGTTACTCTTATGATTTCTTGTACTATAGACGGATGGTTTTCAAGAAAATATTTAATAAATTTTCACGATCCCTGGTTTACTTTTAGCATATTTGGTGAAATGAAAGGCAACCTTGAAATGGCTGGTATTTAAGACAAGATTTACTAATCATCGATTGGATCAATCGAAGTATGGGACAAATAAACACACGTTTTTTAACAGATAGACCGTTTCTCTCAATTGGTGGAATAATTGTTGTTTACCCAGCAATACAGAATACCACTTCATTAGTGGACGGAATCTCGCAATAAAACCCAGACGGTATTAGCTTTGTCACTAAAGCATGAAGCGGCATGATACCTACTTAAATTCAGCATGATAACCTAACTTTTACTTTGGTAACTAATCATGCTCCTCGGTTCGATTTTTGCCTATGCAGGAGCATTGAATTCAAAGTTCTTACTGCTAAAAATCATGAATTACACTTTCTCCACAGCACGAGAGCTGGAACAAATTTTCTCCGGTTGGGGCTCACCTTAAAATGTTTACACTTTACCTGCAGTTTTTGAAGAACAAATAATGAGACTATACGCATCATCATTTGACATCCCCCTAGATCCACTGTATTTCACTTTAATTTCATCCGCGATGTTCGTGAAACGACCACAGCAAAAATTGCCTTGATAATCGAATGATAATATCGAGTTGAAAAATCGGTCATTCTTGGCCCTCCTGTTCTTATTCCCCTATTTTTCCAATGTAATAAATTATCGATACTATACCTATTCACGGGTATCGCTCATCTTAAATTCGCCTTTAATTTTGCCAGCTAGGCAATATACCTACAGCAGAGTACGAATAGTTATCTCTTTTTTACGTTTATGCTTCATGTTTTAATTGAGCCAATTAATTAAAAAGATTGGAAAATTTTGGTGTGTTCAAGCCTTAATTTTGAGAGCAAACTTAATTTCTGTGGTTGCATATAGAGTGAGATATTGTCGTGCCTGATCACCTACTCTATGTAGATCTCGATTAAATACAAAAAAAATACTCAAGTAACGATAATTTTAAGGCTGTCAGAATGACTAAAATCCCAAGGTGTATTCTATCGAAATATTTGACAACCCTGCCTCCGTGGTCCCTTGAAGGGAGGAGATTTTTGTAATTATGCAAAACAAATGAATATTGATTCGTAAGGAAGATCGCCGAAGAATGGAGATACCGATTTAATCCCAGATTGGCGCCTCCCGGACCCTCAGCGTCGGTTGAAGGTGTCTCAAATGAGTCGTGAATGTTCTAGTCATTAGGGATCGTGAATCGGTCAAGGGTCGGTCTTCATTGTTTTCATCTTGTGTTTTTGACCCTCTTCTCGAGAGCATCCCATGTTTTTGCCCCTAACTCAACTTCCAGCAGGATGGTTGTCTACTTGTACATCGAGCCCCGAAAATTCAACCGAATAATAACATGAACAGTTCCGCCTCGGTTGTAAGGTGGCAACGCGGTGTCTCATTTTCAATTAAGGTCCCTCGACCACCAATTTGGAGCTCGTAAAAACAATTGTCAATGAAATTACGCTAACTCCCCTCTCCTCTGAATGACGATAGTTCGCTCTGGGAAGGGTTGTCGCCTGCAACCAGTTTGAAGCCGTGAATCTTTAAACCGTCGATTTTCGCGATTCACAAGTACGGTCACTGAATTTCCGAAGTTGTTGAGGTATAACATTTTGGCTGTAGGACTTCGTAAATTCTTAGTTTTCTGGTAGCCAGTGTTATGAAAGTAATTAAGTCAGAATTTACGTGGAAAATAGTTTATTCTTCACACAGTAAAAGATTCATCGACTATTACCATCGTCAGGAATTTATCAGAAAAAATAATACACAAATAGCATTTTATAGGGACTACAGAGGTACAGGGAAATAGATTTATTGTAAATAATCAACTTGCGTACGCAAGTTTCGACGTAATTATTTTCATGGCTGCCCTAAAAACCGCAAAAAAAGAGTCTCTGAAGCTGATTTGGGAACCTTAGCCTCCCTTTTTACAATAAGGTGTCTCAGGATTAAATGACCAGACTGCTGTAGCATGTTCTGAGTCGATATAAGATTTTGTTTTCTTTAAACTTTTTTTTCCAAGCACGTCTTAAATCAAAGCTACCGTCAATCAAATTTTTAGGAAATACATAATTTTTTTCAACACGGAAAAACCGAGTTTAGGGCTGGTACCTGCGCGGAAGGTCCCAGCCCTTTAACCGGGTAGGTAAAATTGCTTTACCTCATACCCCATACGGGCAGGTCTGGCGCGGGTAGAGCCCAAAACTACCTACTTCAGGCTAAGGTCAGCCCTACTTGGTAAGGGCTGGACCCTGTCCAGGTAGGGCTGGGCACTACTCGCGCAGGGCCTGTACTGCCCCTGTGGGGTATAAGGTGAAGCAATTTTAGAGCCCAGCCCTAATCTCATTTTTTCCGTGAATGTTGGTTATAGACGGCTTTGGACTGAGCCTCATGAAAAATAGCATCTCCTTGTAATTTTTAGAGCTGAATTTATCCATGATCCCGTACGAATTTAGAACCCTCCCAGTGAAACCTGCAGTTTTTACAGACTCCAATGAAGGACCGCGGCCTTTCTCGTGTACTCATCGCCCGGCTGACAAAAGGGCGTAACTACATATTGAGATGAGCTCGGAAAAGCATCGAATTTTATGGACAACAAGGTTCAT